ATAGCGGACGAGATGATATGTTACATCATACATTCCCAAATACTGATATTATCTGGGGTGATGTTTCTGTTAGATAAGAGCAGCGCGGGAGCAAAGGCTTCTGCCTGAAGCTGATGAAGCAACCGGTGTTAAAGTTAGAGTTGCCACTCCTTGTGGTCAAAAAACAAGGTTCTTCTTCCCGGAGGGGAGCTATCAGGTAGGTTATGAAATATTTAAAAAAACGTACAGCTCTTTATATACTTCACTTATCAATTAACGGAAAATATAGACTATCAGCACAAAGAAAAACCAAACAACCAACCAGCAAACAACTAATGTGATTTGCGTATATAGATATGATTCATTATTATGAGAGTGCATGTCATTAATCCGTAAAACAAAACTAAATATGCATAGACCTCTTTAAGTTTGGCCTAATGTCTACTCATTTCAAAAGTAAAGCGTATCAACGGCAGTATTTGATCTCAAATATGGATGTTATCGCTTGAGCTGGACAAACAACAAAACTCAGCCTATCTTGCAGAAATATAAAACACGCGTCCTGCTTCTCCTAACACTTTTTTCCTGTTCTGCAAATCCCCAAAGTGTATCATAACTTTATACAGCACAGCAAGCAAGTTTTTTATTTATTTATATGTTTTATAAAATACAATTCATTTGCAATAACCTAACAACGGAAGTTAAGCGCGCGTGCGCAAAAAAGCATGCGCTCACAACCATCAAAACAAAAAAATTAAAACAGTTGTTTTATAAAGCTGTTTTTAAGGTTTATGCGTCAGTGAATTCTTAGTTTGTTGGTAACTAAATATTACAATGCGCTAAATAAGTAGTAAACGCTTCACGGATTAATGGTGTACAATCTAATAATACTGAAAGTGAGGTTTGTAATTATGTCTCTTCAGGAAGTGTATGACTGGCTGGGAAGTCAAGAAGAGAACCCTCTCTACTTTGTAATAGAGACATTTGATAAAAACATTGTGCGCTCTGGACAAACCATTGAACGACAAGACCAAATTTTAAGAATAGTAGAAAATTACGTTTGTTTGTCAGTACTTGCTGCTCTAGTATTCAATTAATCGATCATCGATGCTGCTTCTTTTATAGAACAAGCAGGAGATGACAAATAGTTTTGGTCAGGAAGAAGTAAGTACATATATGCATGGATATTAAATTGTACATGTATGTACTTATGAAGTTGAGGTGAGATATCGTACATTTAACTGTTAGGGAAAAGTGGGTTTGCTTTTTTCAATAAACATGAGAAGGCCAGCAGGTTTT